AATAAATATATTTAACCTATAAAATTCCTCTTTTATGAGATTGTTGTTCGTAATGCATATCTTACGCGTTGTTGATTAGGTCGTAAAAGCCAGGGGGGCATAGGCGCCGGAATTCAAAAATCGCTTTGGGTGCCCGGCTTCTATGCGGAAAATGGGGGCTATCCCCCCCTACCCTCCACAACTCACTTAAAGGCACCACCGGTTTTTTAAAAAGCTATTTTAAAGTTGATTTTATGAAAATTTTCTTCAAAAAAAAAAGGTATTGTCAAATGGCAATTGCTGGAGAGGCTGGAGGCACTCACCTAAAACGGGATATCTGGAAACCCTATATGCTTGGTGCAGCCACCACTGGTATTTTGAAGGTATTTTTAAATAGATTATAACCCCCAAATTTTAAATCGCCACTGTCTTCCTAGCCATTATCTTTTAACGATTTTTATTTTCTGTAAAATCCTACCAGTTAATCGAGTAAATGCTAGAAATGCTGATTCTGGACCTCCATGCAATAATAGAGGTTTTGTTTAAAATGCTATCGAACATTTTGAAGCATCTATGGGGTTATTTGATGACATTCATCAATTATCCGTCGTTGTCGCAGATTTTCCAGTGATGTTGGTTGGGTGACATACATTTTATTTTTTAAGTGGCCCCATAAAAATCAAACGGGCTTAGATCCGGAGACTGTGGGGGCTACTCAATACTTCCTCTTCTTCCGATCCTGGAAACGTTTGATCCAAATACTGACGAACAGTGGTGCACCGTCATGGTGGAATATTAAGTTGTTTGCTATGTACAAATCAATCAACTCTAGTAATGCTGGATAAATAGCGTTTTCTAATAATTCCAGATACATTTCTGCGGTTAAAGTTTCTGGTAAAAAAGGGGCCTACTATACGGTTACCAAAAATGATAGCCCAAACATTCAGTTTTTCCGGATGTTGCGTATGTACTTCATGAAATATTCTGTCTTGTACTCAATATGGGTTCATGAACAACATGTCCTAAAATCGCCACCTCTGTAGCATTATTTACTACAGAATTTTCCATTTCACGTTATTTGTTAGCTACTGACCCCGTTTTCCAAAATGTTAGGACTAACTCCAAAATGTAATTTCGATGGACTTGTCGATTTTGATGTTGATTGTTAAACAGTTAGGCAGTTCTATTAGCACATTTATTGTTCGCAAAAAAGTGAAATTCTTTGCACCCTCTTAGCAATAGAGTAAACCATTATCACTGATATGCCACTTTTATGCCGACTCACAACGAAATAAACTAAACCTTATTACTTTGCGGCCACCAAAGAATGTCATCTGATAAGAATAATTGAGAGCCACAGGAATAAAAGTAAAATTGTTACAAAGAATTCCCTTTTTTTTTAATAACAATGTAAAAATTATGTTAAACCGGTTTTGTACTTTTGGTGAGCCACTGTATGGGCTTCATAGATAGTAGCGATGTAAAACTCGGGGGTTATTATCTAGGTAAAAATACCTTCAAAATAACATATCATTCAACCAATCTTTCCATTTAAGATATAACTGGTGATTCTCACCCCCGATAGAAGGTTTCCGCTTAGAGGGTGCAATTGCCAAAACAATGATCCCCCGTAAAAAACAAAATAGACTGGGTTTCTCGTCAGCAATACTAGAGAGCTATTTCTAACTCTAAATGAACGTTTTTTGCTAACGGTGCTTGATCAGGAGCAACTTTCAAATGTTCTCCCTTTTCCCCTTAAGCATTTGCTCAATGGCATATGTACAAGATATTATCTTGATAATTGTAGACCGTTAATAATCTTTCTTTTTTGACGTCATAGGGTTTTATACACCAAAAATAATCAACCCTTAAGTTCAACGCGTTGTCTATGACAAGTTACGGCGACTTTTTTATCACAAAAAATATAGCTCCGAACGATAATATTTTATTGAGGCATCTGACGCTATACCAACTCGAGCCACGACAGCTTCTTCATTTTACTTATTGACACTTTTTGTCCTCGTTGTGTTCAAAACTGCTCTGGGTGCTTGCGCACCCGGAGCCCCGGGGATTCGGCGCCTATGCAGGGGGGGACAACTTCCCATGCTTAGTGTTGTGAGCCACAATATCGAAGGGTTCAGAATATGTTATAATTCAGATATATTAAAAAGAAAATTCTCCCTGGTTTCTCGTTGGACTATATTTAGGACATATTTGTATTGTATTGAGTCAGTAGGCTAATATATTCATTATTGGTGACCAAAAAGTACCAAAACCATCTTAAAACCTGACTTATAGTGACAGAACATGTCATTCCACTCTTCTGTTGGATTGTAATTCTTATTGGGTCTCCAATCGAGATTTGATCAAAGCTAGCTCCGCTGTCAGAACTTTATTGAAACCAATTGTTCTAACTCTGTTATGTCGAGATTTAATCACCGAGAAAGTGTTAATTTGTCTTTAACCCATATTCGCTTATTGGCACGTTCCGATTTTGAGAAGTCGGCGGTAATATTGTTAGATTTCTTAATTCTTAGTTACGACTATTAATAATTTCTAGCAGCGACATTTATGTAAAATAGGCCTGTAAATGTATCTGAATTGCTAATTTATTTAGGGCAAATTCATTATTGTAAAAAAGATCGAGTGGTGGGGTTCTATCGGAGTATACTCATATTAATTAAAAGATGCGTTAATATAATCAAAAGACTTGTAGTTGGCAACTTCTGTTCCCATTAAAATAGATAAATAGATAGAAGTGCGGGTTTGCGCGAGCTTCTTAAGTGTGGTCCCGTAAATGGCATTATAAGAACCACTTTTGATTTATAAGGTTCGTTTTGTATTATTTTTTTTTTTTTATAAAAGCTTAGTAAGTAATTTTTATTTAAAAGGGTACCTATTTTTTGTTTTATTTTTAGGAAAATGCGTTTTTTTTATATGTATAAGGTGTTTTATATTGTAAATATTATTTGAATTAAAATTTATATACTAAAGAAAGCTAGGAGTAATACTAGAACCTCACAATCTCAATTTGATTATTTTTTTAAGAATTTTTATGGACATATTTAATTACACATTATGAATTAGTTATTTAATAGTTTTAGCTTCATGTTTATATTTTAGATTTTACTGGTAGCCCTTTAATGGGGTCTATTCTGTAACAATTCCTTTATATTTAACGGCCTTCATATATATTTTTTTCTTTACTTTTGTCATTATTTAAACGGATCTTTAAAATACTTAGAGGACTATCTTAAAGAAATCTGTTTAAATAATGACAGAAGTAAATTAACGAATACGAAAATATTTTTAAGGCCACCAATATTTTTAAAGGCCGGTAAATATAAAGGAATTGTTACAGAATAGACCCCAATATCATTATAAGAAAACCTTTACATTTATATAGTTCGTTTGTAATAAATATTAATAATAATAATAATATAATAATAATAATAATAATTAATAATAATAATAATAATAATAATAATAATAATAATAATAATAATAATAATAATAATAATAATAATAATAATAATAATAATAATAATAATGTACGTTTTCATTTTTTTTAAAGCTTGGTAAGTAATTTTTTCTTAATGATAGGTAACATTTTTTTATTTAATTATCATACAATTGCCTTTTTGCATGTGTATATAGGGCCTATCACCATTTTGTTTCTTGTAATAATAATAATGATAATGAATTTATTTATACTAATTTACAAAATATAATAATACAATATTGAGACAGGTATAAATAACTGAAAAGAAATCGAAAAAGTAAATTTTTCACTTGTTTCGATGCAATAACAATCACAAAAACAATAAAATAAAAAAACATACAATTAATGAACATAAATACAAAAAAATAAAAGATAATAAAATTACAAACATCATAAAGTGTTATTAAAATACATATTATAGCTTAATATGTATATACAAATATAGATAAAATAAATTTAGACTTAGATATTTATATTAAAACAATACAGGGTGTTTCGTAAGGAATGGTAAATATTTTAATAGGTTCAGAAACTCAAAATGTAATAAAGTTAAAATTATGATTGTTGTACACGGTGTCTGATTAAGGGTGAAGGGAGGAAAGTTGGGCAGTTTGACATCGTTTCAAGCGGGGCCTAAGGTCCCGCTTTTAGAATACGTTACAGGTCTAACTACAATTCTCAGTGGCTGCCCAGCACATTATACAAATGACGTAAAAGACTTTTTAAATCAACGTTTTCGGAATAGGTGGATTGGAAGAGGTAGTCTATTTCCATGGCCACAAAGATCTCCCAACCTCGCCGTAATAGATTTTTATTTGTGGGATCAACTTAAAGATTTAGTTTATCAAACTCTACCAAACTAAGTAGAGTAGATCTAATTTAACGGATACAAACTGCAATTGATCATATTCCTGTCAATTCAACTAGACAGAGACTTGATATTTGCATTGATAAAGATGGAAAACAATTCGCTTTTCTTTATTGTTTAAATGCAAAATGGATGAAATAAAAGTTACTAAATTTTGGCACGTCGTAGATTCTTATTTAAATAATATACTTTAAAATGTTTTTTTTGTATTTGTATGTTTTCAATGTTTATTTGTTCAATGAAATACAGTGGTTGATTTAAAAATAGTAAAACTGTGGATAATTGTGTATTTTTTTAATTCTTTTTTGTTTGATTTTGTTTTTATTCCCTTTATTACATGTTTGTATAGACACGAATACTGGGTGTTCCATCTCAGACGAGCCACCCCGTATATTTCTTATCCCATAGTAATTGGAAAAATTTCCCGAAACACATCGGATGATTTTCTTTGGGGGACGTCTTTTGACGCCTCAAATATACGTCAAAAGATGTCCCCTAAAGAAAATCATCCGACGCGCTTCGGGAAATTTTTCGAATTTTTATGGGATAAGAAATATACGGGGTGGCTCGTCTAAGATGGAACACCCTGTATATATCTGTATTATTTCTTGCGTTACATATACGATATTCGAACCAAATATTTTTTTTAGAATGAAATATAAAGAATGCTTGTTAGCTACATTAATAGCATTCTGCATCCTGGTTCAATCTACAGACGCTAGATCTAGACGAAAATCCAGAGACAAATCAAAATTAGAAGCAAACAAAAAGGGTTCTCCCAACGAAATTCAAAACCAAGAAGCAGACGATAATTACGAAGAATATGGAGAAATAGGAAATAATTATCAAGACTATTATGATGAAAATGATGCTAAAAATCGTAAGTATTTAACTAAAATTCGACATATTTAAGAAAATATTTATGTATTTTGCAGCAACACCTGCTTCTATAACCACTCAACAACCAGAAGATGAACGAATTCGCTTTCCATCTTCTGGATCTTCCATAACTCCGCAGCCTGAAGACGAAAGACCTCACATAATTCATACACCATCTTCTGTTACCACTCCCCAGCCAGAGAATGAACGACCTCGTCCAAAGCACGAATCAACAACTGAAATCTTCGTTCAGCCTGATAATGAAGTACCTATCACCGAACAACTATATACCTGCAGACAGGATGGGCGAGTATTTCAAGATAAGCAAAAGTGGAGAGTCAATGATTGTACGGAGTGCGCATGCGTTAGAGGCATTGTTGAATGCATAACTAATGATGAATGCCTACATATACCCGGTAAGAATGAGCTCCAAAATTATCCAAATCGTGTTTGTATTTGTTGTAGAGGAAATTATTTGTCTTCTTCCACTAGGTATGCCAAGATGATGACTAGGGTGTCTTCAAAGTAACGAAAGTAACGAAAAAACAATAACTGCTTGCTAAAGTTTCTTCGATAGTGAACTTAAAAAGCCAGATTTTCAAATATTGACTATTTTTTAATAGTTGATATAAATGCATTTAGACTGCACCAATATAGATCCATTGTTTTTCTAACTTTCTGAATTTTTTCTAAAATCTATTTCATGCAAATTAGACCTATCATTATAAACATTCGAATTGTGATTATTTCTATAGAGAATAAATTAGAACATTATTTTATAGGACCTCAAGGAGCTCACGGTCCTCAAGGAGATCCTGGATATACCGGAGAACCTGGACCACCCGGAACACCTGGCAACCCTGGAGTTCCAGGTGTGCCCGGACCGCCAGGACCTATACCAGATTTGAGCGCATTCTATGATCAGATTGCATCTCAGAATAGTAATAACGATAAAGGTCCAAACTATCCAGAACCATTTCAATTCCTTCAAGCACAGGTTGGACCAGCTGGATCCAGAGGACCACCAGGTAAATATATAACTTTGTTTAGATATGACTATAAATATTATTTACACACTTTTATTTATCAGGACCAGTAGGACCTGTAGGACCTCAAGGTTTTCAAGGAGCTCGAGGGGAAACTGGAGAAACTGGACCAGTCGGACCTTCTGGACCAGCCGGTCCTAGAGGACTTCCAGGACCGCCTGGAAAAGATGTAAATATACACATAAACTATATTTTTCTTCAATATAAAAATATTTTTTAATTAAGGGACAACGTGGGGATGATGGTGAAATGGGAGCTCCAGGTCCACAAGGAATGTCTGGGACAAGAGGTCTTCCTGGAATGCCAGGTCTTCCAGGAGTTAAAGGTCACAGAGGATTCGCCGGTTTAGATGGTAGTAAAGGTGAACAAGGTAACATAGGTGAAAAAGGTTCACAGGGACTAGTTGGACCTATGGGACTTCCCGGTCCAATGGGTCCCGCGGGTGTTAGAGGCGAAAGAGGTAGAGAAGGACCACCAGGACCACCGGGAATGAGGGGAATTGATGGTATTGCAGGACCGCCTGGATTACCAGTAAGATTAAGACAAACAGTATTGAAAATATTTTTAATTGAATTATTTTAGGGACCTGTCGGTAAACCAGGAGCTCCAGGCTTTCCGGGAACACCTGGCGCAAAAGGAGATCAAGGAGCGCCTGGAGTTAAAGGAAATCAAGGATTTCAGGGTCCGAGAGGTAAATAATTTTTTGCTGCTGCTGCATCCATCTAGATTATAATTCACTACCTATTGAGACACATAAACAGTGGAGTAGTTGTTTTCGCTAGAATAATTTTATATATTTTATTATCCTGTCTTAATCATATTTAAGTTTGGAATATTTTTTTGTCATTCTTACATTAATAATTAATTAAATCAAAATTTTAATCAATTTTTAGGTGAATCTGGTCGACCTGGTAATCCAGGAGACTCTGGACCACCAGGATCCCCAGGAAAAGACGGATATCCAGGAGCTAAGGGCGCCACTGGTTCACAAGGAATAATCGGACCTCCAGGATTTCCTGGAGCTAGAGGCCCTCCAGGATTAGCAGGAAATGTTGGTCCATCAGGAGCTAAAGGAATAGCGGTAATTCATTACCTGTTTAGAATTTTGAATTATTCTTTAGATACAAATTGAAAAATATTTTAGGGAGTTCCTGGAGAAAGAGGTTATAAAGGCGATGTCGGAATGAAAGGAGAATCAGGAGCACCAGGACCCAGAGGTTTGCCTGGAATACAAGGTCCTGAAGGAAAGCGAGGAAAAAGAGGAATGAGAGGACCACCTGGACAAGCAGGTCCTTCCGGTGAAAGAGGACTTCCCGGAGCTAGAGGAAACCCTGGCCCAGATGGAGCCCCTGGAGTTAAAGGTAGAAATCTTTTTTTTATATTTTTATTACATTTTTATAAAATGATACAATTTTATATAGGCCAAGCTGGAGAACGTGGTATGACTGGTCCACAAGGACTCAGAGGTTCCCAAGGTGAAACTGGTAGACCAGGACCCCAAGGGTTACAAGGACTTCGCGGAATTACCGGTAGAACCGGACCTGCTGGCAAAGTTGGCTCCCCGGGAGAAAGGGGACTACCAGGCCAGGACGGAAAATCAGGCCCACAAGGACCTCAGGGTATCCAAGGACTTCCAGGCATTCCCGGATCTCCTGGAGAAAAAGGAATAAGCGTAAGCAGTTTTATCAAATTTTTAGTTGCCTAATTATGTATATTGAAATACGTAGGGCGAACCAGGAAAAGATGGCGAACCAGGTCCCATTGGACCTGTTGGACCACGAGGAGATGCTGGAAAAGACGGGCATCGTGGACCTCAAGGCCCCCACGGTCCTCCAGGTATGGACGGAGAGCGTGGTGCCCCAGGTGTAGAAGGACCAAGAGGTTTTCAAGTATGTACATTTATTTTTGTAATAATAAATAATTAAACTAAACTTGCATCTTTTTTAGGGACTTCCAGGTACACCTGGAAATCCAGGACAACCAGGTAAAGATGGTGAACCCGGAATGCAAGGTCCAGTAGGATTACCAGGTCCGCAAGGATTGCGCGGTGAAAGAGGTTTCACGGGAGAACGCGGAGCACAAGGACTGATAGGACCAATGGGTCCCAAAGGAAGTCCTGGAGCTCAAGGGATCGATGGACCTTCTGTAAGCCAATTCTTAAATTAACGAAAAATCCTGAAATAATATTAATAGCCGTCCCTTTTCCGGACAAGCTCAGCTTTTGGGGTTAAAATTCACTCATATTATTAGGATACTGATACTGAAATTAAATAAATTAAATAGGATATCATTTCAATTTGTATTTAGGGTCCACCAGGTCCAATGGGATCAAAAGGTCACTCTGGACTTCCAGGTTTAGTCGGTTTACCAGGATTGAGAGGACAGCCAGGACAACAAGGAGATAAAGGAGAACGAGGATCTATTGGCCCTGCTGGTCAAGAAGGACCTCAAGGACGACAAGGAGAACGAGGCCCAATGGGACCAGGAGGACTTCCAGGACCACCCGGAGATAATGGTTCACCAGGTGAATCTGGACCCGCTGGTATGCCTGGAGAACAAGGTGCATCAGGAGTACCTGGAGAAAGAGGTCCGCTTGGTCCACCAGGTGCTCAAGGTTTTCCAGGGTCCCCAGGACTTATAGGATTGCCTGGTCTGAAAGGTGAAAGAGGATTTAATGGTATTAAAGGAGCTCAAGGAGTCCGTGGTCTTACGGGTAAAACTGGTGAACCAGGAAACCCTGGGCCTATTGGGTTGATGGGAGTAAAGGGAGCACGTGGAGAAGCTGGTCAAAAGGGAGATATTGGTTTCATGGGTCCACCTGGAAGACCTGGTGAAATTGGTCCACAGGTAAGATAATTTGGAATTTCATTTTACAGAAAAATGTATGGCTTTTAATTTTTTTTCAGGGTCTGCCTGGTAGCGCAGGTCAGCCTGGCCCTCAAGGTTTACCTGGAATAAAAGGAACAACAGGAGAAGCAGGACGATCTGGTTTACCTGGATTACAAGGACAATCAGGACCACCAGGAGCAGACGGTGTGAAAGGAGAAAGAGGCTCTGAAGGACCGCAAGGACCGATAGGTCCATTTGGACCACCAGGTCAAGCAGGTGATAGGGGACTACCAGGTCTTCCAGGTCCACCGGGGCCAATTGGATCACAAGGACGCAGAGGTCCTCCAGGTGAAACCGGAGTTGCTGGAAATCCTGGTAAAGAAGGTCCAACAGGTCCACAAGGTTTGCCTGGAATGTTAGGCCCACCAGGACCAGCCGGAGAACAAGGGCCGGAAGGACCTTTAGGTAAATTTAGAAACAGGCACATATTTAAGATATTTTATCGTTTTTATAAATTATAGGCAAGCCAGGAACTCCAGGTCTAACAGGAAGACAAGGAGACAAGGGGCCACAAGGGTTACCAGGATCACCAGGAGTTTCAGGCCTTCCAGGTCAACCTGTAAGTACTAGTTTATAAAAATGTAAGAAGAATGTATGAAGAATGTATGAAAAATTGATGAAAAATTGTTGAAAAATTGTTGAAAAATTGTTGAAAAATTGTTGAAAAATTGTTGAAAAATTGTTGAAAAATTGTTGAAAAATTGTTGAAAAATTGTTGAAAAATTGTTGAAAAATTGTTGGGACATTGTTGAAAAATTGTTGAAAATTTAATGAAAAATTGATGAAAGATTGATGAAAAATAGATGAAAAGTAGATGAAAAATTGATAAAAAATTGACGAAAAATTGTTAAAAAATTGATGAAAAAATTATGAAAAATTTATAGAAAAATTATAAGATTAAAAAACTATATATTATAATTTATAAAAATATAGTTAATAAATTAATTTTTGTTTAAAAATTTAGGGCCAAACGGGTCCTATAGGTCCCATTGGTTTGACTGGTGAAAGAGGATCCCGTGGTGAACAAGGTTTACAAGGACAAGACGGAACACCCGGAGAAAGAGGAAAACCTGGTGCATCAGGAATAGAAGGTCCAAAAGGAGATCGCGGTGATATAGGATTTAGAGGTCCTAAAGGACATCCTGGTTTAATGGGACTACAAGGACTTCCCGGTTTACAAGGACCTTCCGGAGAAAAAGGTTCACCTGGAGAACACGGATTGCCCGGAAAAGAAGGAGAGACCGGTCCAAGAGGTTTTCCAGGAAGGGATGGAAATCCTGGCATTCAAGGACCAGCTGGTCCCGTAGGTCCAAGAGGGGAAAGCGGCAATTATGGAAAACCTGGTTCTCCAGGACAACCAGGTACTTAATTAATAAAGTTTTTAGTATTAGTACTATTGTGTAAATCTTTTTAGGACCACCAGGACCTCCTGGTCCACCCGGAGAAGGCGTTGGATACGATGCAGCTAGTTTAGCTTCTCTGTTGTCTCAAGCTCAAAATAATCAAAAAGGACCAGACAGTATGAATGACCAACCGCCTAGAATATTTGGAAAGGAATTGACTCTAGAAGAGACAAGAACATTGATCGACAATGCTTATGAGCAATTGAAAACATCCTTTGAAAAGTTACGTAAACCAAATGGGCAAAAATCGTCACCTGGTAAAACTTGTAGAGATATCAAGGCGGCTTATCCAGATATGCAAAGTGGTACGTCTTTATATATAATTTTAGAGCTGTGTTATATAGGAAGGATTTAATAATTTTCAGGGCAATATTGGATTGATCCCAATGAAGGTGACATTAAAGATGCTATTTTAGTTCATTGTGATATGGAAGAAAAAGCTACTTGTGTTTTACCTCAACCGACAAAATCACCTGAAATCCATTATGTCGGAACAGAATCAGAAATATGGTTGGGTGACATTGATAATGGCATGAAGGTAATATTTTATACTTTCAACAAAAATAACTAATCGTATAATAAAAATACAATTTTTAGATTACTTATAAATCGGACAGCACGCAAATTTCCTTCCTCCATCTACTTTCATCGAAGGCTACTCAAAATGTGACTTACCACTGCAAAAAATCGGCAGCCTACTTCGATGTCACGAGACACACCTTCAAGAAGGGAATCAAACTGATGGCTTGGAATGATATTGAAATTACACCAAAAGGAAAAATAAAATATGAAGCTGTAATTGACGAGTGCAGAGTAAGTAAAATATAACAGATAATCTTCAGGTGGTGGAATTTAATTCAACAGTTTCACGGGGACCAAACCTCCCTCAAGCTACTTATCTACTTACTGATTTTGTTTGCTCTCCTTTCAACTCAGATCTCTTGTTCTCCTATATCTGCTATTCGGCTTATGTGTACACCCACTACTTTTGCTTTAATTTCTTACTAAAATGTCTTTAATTGTTTTTATTTTTCCAGTATTACAATATCAAATATAACAATTTTTTTATTTCAAATCTCTACTTCCATTTAATTTTTTTTACATAACTTTTCAATGAAACAAATAATTCTTAAATATCAACATATTTTTGGAGATGCAATGAGGGGGGGGGATGTAATGCAGTTGTAATATTTCGACCGACGTTACTGCACAGAATTTGTCAAAACATTCTAAAAACTATTGTAATCAAACTCTAATACAGGATTTTCTCCAAGAAAAACAGTCATGCATTCTAGAATTGAATACTACTATTCGCAATTTAGTAACACATCATCGATACGAAAGTAACATTTGATATTTTTTGCTATTTGCTCTATTTTGAATAGTATTTTAAATTAATTTTATTATTCAAAATATGGAATTGATTTAAAGTTGATTTGGAGCTGTAGAGGTGCAGATACACCTAAGATCGTATGATATTTAAAATAATGAATGATTGTATTATTTTTAGTACCGGAGAGACTCATGGGCAAAATCAATACTAGTATATTCGACAGAAAAACCCCAAAGACTGCCAATCGTAGACATTGGAATCAGAGATGCAGGAGATAAGGATCAATCGTTTTGGGTGGAGATTGGAGCAGTTTGCTTTTCATAAAAGTAACTTCGATTTTCGAACCATCGAGACGTTTTTATAAGTACAACAAACGAATGTGCTTCCATTTTAGAAAGTACTTATATTTAATTTATATTAAGAGATCTAAGGTGCTATAATATTTTTGTATGTTAGAAATATATTTTTTTACAAAATTAATAAAGCAGAAATTAACTGTAATAAGTGTTTTCTTTTTCTGAGCTTTATTTATTTATGTGAACATTTGATAAACAAGGATAAATAGCATCAAAAAGTCTAAAGGTGGTAAATAATAAAACACTAAGAAATTTAAGTGATAAAATAACTAAAAAAGTCACCCTCTAGTTGTCATACATCATTGGAAAGCTTTACCACCCTGAAAAGGAGGATAACTCCTAGAAAAATGTCAATATTAAACTAAAAAAAATTTGAAAGCTAGTAGAAAATAGTTTACAACGATTTAAGTTGTAGGTGCCCTATTAAGAGTAATTCAAAGGAATGTACGAATTAAAAACCTATTTAAAGAGAATTAATTTTAGTAAACATTTAAAATTACTTTTTTTTGTTATCCAGGCAAAAGAAAATTTTTAAATTCACGTTTAGCGTTAGCAAATGATTCGTTAGGAAATTATGCTTGCATAACTCTTTGTTGTAATATCCCAATTGTGGTGGGTTTAGTAAACTGTTGATCTGAGATACCCCCATAAAAAATCCGAAGGCGCTAAATCTGGCTATCTAGATGTTCATACAATGGAGTATCTTCTACCAATCTACTTATTAAGAAATATAGAAAACCAAAAACTCACTGCACAAAGACAATGAGAATGACATTTTCTATCTCCTCTAATCAATATCTATGATAATTCCGAAAACCTATCATCGTTAAAAGAAAAAATAAGGAACATTAACAAAAACTACTTTATTTTCGTAACATTTGATAAACCTTTATTTCAATATAATAAAAAAACTAAACAGTATGCATTATATCTACTTAAATCAAAATCTAATATTAAAGCAATAACTAATTACTGTCTCTTTTAATAAAAAAAATATTTCCTATAATGGAAATGGAAATTCAGGTGACTCCCTTAATCTGAAATATAAAAACATTTATTAAAAAGTTAACAAGAATGAAAAAATTTAATTATTTAGAATGTAGGATAATTATAAAATAATTTAAAAAAAAAAACCTGAAATATAGGGACCGTACGTGAAATATAGAGGCAGCACTACTGCCGAACTTAGCCCTCTCTAGTGTTTAATTTTAGAATTAAATGGGGTAAACATTGCAAGTAAATAATAAAGGGTATTTTTTTAAATATTAAATATAGTTAAAAATAGATACCGGCCCGTACCAAACAATCGTGTACATGGTCAAAATGACGTAAAATGTGAAACATTATTAAAATCTGGACATGCATATACATTTTAAGCAAAAAGATTTAAATGGCTAAGTGACAATAAATTGTAAAGTTGTACCTTAAACAAGTGTATCCAATGTTAAAATATCGGTATTTAGTAACACTGAATTTAAAAGTATTACAATAACATTTAAATAATGTAAATTAATAAAAAAGATTGATAATAATAATTATAAATCTTTTTAGCTTTATGTTAATCGAAATGTCATTCATCCACTGACGTTTATGAGATGTTCAATGATACTTATTATAGATTGCTCACCCATCTATAAAAAAATTATGAAAAGCGGGTTGCAATGTGCCTTTCCTAGTGCTCACTAAATAGAGCCGTTCTAGCACAAATGTATTTTAAAATAAAATTTCAGCATTTTAATCTTTAGAAAAAGAAAATAATTAAAGTTTTACTTCAAGACATGTCATTATGTATTTGGAAAGTTGAGTTTTCATGTAGTTAAATAATATTAAGAGATCTAAACAATTTTTATAACAGATAGATACAAATAATTTTAGACTACTATTTCAGAAACAATTCTACATAAAATACATAATTGCAATATGTAATACAATTTTAAAAATATAATGTAAACAATTTTGATATGAGGTATAAACAACTTTAGGAAGAGTTGTAATTGGACACATCTATTATTCTGAATAATGTTTAATGGTAATGTCACTAAAAAAATTTACAAAAATCACTGGATTTTTAATATTTTAAAGTTTGTTACAATCTCTTTTGACAGTAATTGCAATGTATTATTAATGATGTTTATTTTAATAATAAATGAGAAATAGTTAATAAATTGTAAAGAGGGCCGTGATATTTTTGTCAAATTGGACATTCTTATTTCATATTCTACATTAGTTTTAATCAACAGAATAAACCATTATCTGTAAAATTATATTTATATAAAATGTTCATTTAAATATGTAAAAATCTTAATGACAAGAAAACACTAAAGATTCTAATTTCTAAACCGGTTCTGTAAATGATTTCTTTACAACTAAGTGCTCAAAATTGATACAAGCTAGATAAAAAGAAAACTTTGCCCAGTGAAATACGCTTTTCGTCGTCTGATTTACATATGGATAAGAAATCTTTGTAATTATGTATATCATTGGGTGTGAGGCATAATTGTGCTCTGTGGAAATTTATAAAATTTCTTTACTATCGAATGAAATCCAGGTTTCCAAAGTGATGTGTTTGTACATCCACGGATGCAACAAGTTTTTTTCGATATTGATATTACGAAAATAATTCGACTTCATTTTATTAATAATTATTAAACAATAAATGCCGTATAAAACATTAATAAATACCCCCCATAAAGTTCACATTTTTGTCACCAGTTAGCGTTAAAGTCATGACGCACGGTCCCTATATGAGTATATAATTTTTAATTGATTAAAAAAATGTTTCAACAATTTAAAAAATTTGATAAAACTGATAAATATAATTAATAAGTTCCTGAAAACTATTATAACATAAGATTTTATCTTTCCTAAATAGTTTTAGTTATATTTGGAATACAGGAAATCGGAAATGCCCTGTGGTATTGTAGATAAAAAGATTAAGAGATTATTTTCTGTCCTATTTTAAAATTAACTTTTTCAAACACATTAAATATTTTTTAAGTCTAATATACCGGGTCACAATGAAACCAGGGCTATAGTAATATTTATACAGCGATTTGGTTTTAATTTGGGGAAAACCTACTACATTTGGGATAAATACCATTATTTTTTAAATAGTTATAAAAAGATTTCCAAACGTAGGATGTATATTCTAATATACATAACAAAATAAAGAATTTTTAAGAAATCTATATTTTTTAAAAGATTTACAGTAAAATTGTTATGTTAGAGTCAAGTCATATACGAAGGATCTTAATTAATTCAGTACGAGATAAAAAGTTATCTATTTTTTTATATTCATATTCAATGATATGTTTTTCTCTGTGTAAGAAACAATTTTATAATTGTTAATATTTAAGGCAAGCCTATTATTTTCTAAACACCAGTTGTTGACAATGTCATCATAATCGGAGCTACTTTTTATTGAACATAAGATTTTTTGGGTCATGTGAGAAGTTTAGACAAATCTTCTATCAATAATCATTTTTTAAACATTATTATTAAGTTATTAAGCATGAAAAGTCAATATTTTATTTAAAATAGATCTATAAAAATAGTCGTCTTTCTTTTCTACCTCAAATAGTACGTTAAATTGCCGTATTTGCAAAAAACTAAATGCATAGTCGATCGCCAGCGACTCGCCAGAGATTCATACCGGCGTTTCGCCAGCGATTCGCTGGCGATCCGCCGGCGAAACCCCAAAAAGGTGGCGTCTCGCCGGAGATTGTCACCGGAATGTCATTTCACGCAAGTTTTTATTTTCTTTTATAGGGATTATCACCGGTATCTCTCGCATTTTATTCATGTTTCATTTCTTAAAACTCAAAAAATAATGAACGAATATCAAATTTTTCCCTATAAAAGAACATAAAAATTTGCGTGAAATGACATTCCGGTGACAATCTCCGGCGAGTCGCCAGCTTTTTGGTCTTTCGCCGGTGAATCGCTGGCGATACGCCGAAATGAATCTCTGGCGAGTCGCTGGCGATCGACTATGCATACGTCTGTAAGTTTTTTTTGTTTTTGAAAACAAATACGTCCATACGTCAAAAATGTTTTAGTAAATTTGTTAGAAAAGAGAAGATTGGCGTTATTTTATAAAAAATTCGTTTAAGAACCCAGATTACAAAATAGTTAAGGTGAAATTAATCAAAAAAGGTATGTTAGAACAAAGTAAGAAAAAGACTGCTAATGGTATCATACCAAAAACTAGGTTAAAATTTTGGGAAGATTTAGCGAAAAATGATTGTGAAGATAATAACGATGAAGTAGAAGATTAAACTACTGAGAACTGATATTACTAACAAATTTAATGTAATGCAATTCAATTATCATCTGTAGCTTGAAAAGATTATGACTTTTACATCAAATCTTTAATTATCTCGAATAAAAATTAAAAAAAATCACAAAATTGAGGTATTATCTTTTAAAATGACCTATAAACAGTCACACCTGGAACTTTATAATGTCGATTTTCAAAACCACAAAGTTGACACATCGAAATATCTAAATTTCTCGAATTCAAGTTCATTAGTTACCACATTTGTGTTTAGCACGGCAGAATAACATACCAGAGTTTCAGAAGGAAAGTGCGCGAGTCCTTTGGGTAATGGATGTTTCATACCTACAGATGAAATTCACATCTTTAAACATATATAGACAAAAACAATTGGAAGATCAAAATCAGAAAGGATTACAAAAAGAAAAAAATATTTTTGAAACAAGAAAAGTATTATTGTTTTTTATGTTTATTCAATAAAATTATTATCAAATTACTCCAACCCTAACCCAATAAACTCTAAAATTAACCAGCCTTTGATAAAATCACACTAGTAAGGTCAGTTTGTACGATAAAATCATGAAAAAACAATAATAATTTACACCATGGTACCTATATCATGACATGTGTCAATCAATATAGTTGATCTTCGAGAAATCCATGTTGTAAAAGAGGTGGCAGCGATAATGCTAGCGTAAAATCATATTCCACTAGTGATAATGAAGAAAAGTCAGAAAAGAAGACAGCTCAAATCATTGGCAACAAATATCCAAAAGATGATTCGAAAATAATTGAAGAACTCAAAGTTCTTAGTGGGCAGCTTAGATATTCTGTTAAGTGTCTCTTATTACAGCTAGATGATAGAAACAGGAAAATTGAGCAGCTAAGAGCCACTATCAGGGTGTTAGAAGGTGACAAACAAAACGGTACTTCATTGAGTTATTAAGAGATGTTGCTTTATCTCTTATGGATCAGACAAATCTTGGCTTCTTTCCATACTAAAGGTTTTTAATGCAACTATATTTTTTTAAAGAAACATCAAAAACTACTACACAATACCTGACTATAAAAGAAGGGATACCATCAGGTCTGGCTTCAAATTTTTATAATATTAAACACAATAAACTCAGTAATGACTGTAAAACGAATATTAATTAATGTTTAATTTTGTATTTATAAGATTTTGACTATTTAAATGACTATACTCACGGAGGGAAAAACTTGAAATCACAAATACGAGCCTCTTCTCCCTTCTCCAATCCTTCCAGTTGTTCAAGATCTTCTTCGTCGAGACTAAAGTCGAATACATTCAAATTTTCTTCTATCCTTTTTGGCGTAACACTTTTGGGTATGGGAACAATATTTTTCTCTATCAAAAATCTTAATAATATTTGTCCGGGAGATTTGTTGTGTTTTTTAGCGATGTTTTGAACTATCGGATTTTGTAGGTTATTTGGTAATTCCTTACCACTGAAAATAATGGAAATATATTAATTCAAAATGTGAACTATTAATGATAAACTAATTAATATTAAAAATTTGATTAAAGGGTAAAAGCTTTAATAGGAAAGATGATAATTTAAAAATATGCCAGGAAAATAGCCAAAGAGAAAATTTTGCAAAAGATATGGAGAAAAAAAAGTATAATTAATTTAACCAACTACTTTTGACATTTCAGTAAGGTACAAACAAAAAAGAGAAGGAAAAAATAGAAACTAAAAAATAGAATAGAATCACGGGGTTAAATCATTGAATGAGTACTCAGTAGTACCCAAAAAATGTTATAAAGGTACTACGTATCATACGCTACAAACTATACTATTTCAATAAAATCACGAAAATAATTTAATAGCATCTATCTTATATTCTTGATTCAATATCAATAATAAAAGAAAATTTACTCACTCTTGTCCAACCGATTCCAAAAACTTGTTATACCCAGGGTTTCCCAATGGAGAATAGGCAACAACGATCAAGTTATTTTTGTGGCAAAACTCAACCAGTTCTTTCTGTTGCAAAGAAGCATGTAATTCAACTTGCAAGCAGACTGGTGGAATCCTGCAGTTTTCTAGAATCCGTTCGATTTGTCTTTGGTTAAAGTTTGATAGACCAATGGCCTTTGTCCTACCTGCGTCTACTTGTTCTTCCATTTTCTAAAAAAAAATATAGAAAGGATTTGATCAAAAGAAGATTAACATTTTGTAAATTGTATTAATTGTAAAATATCCTTAGATGATATAGATAGTAAATTGTCTAGGTTAATTTGAACTCAAGATCTACCCTTCCTTTTATTACTTTTTCTTTGTAAATTTTCTATAAACAAAATTGATTTTGGAATTTTTGTTATTCTATATATTCTATATTTTCTATTTTCTAAACTATATAATATTTATATCGAAAGTAATAATAAAGACTAAATTTTATATGTCGAATATCATTTAAAGAAATTATGTCAAAATTATTTAAGCATTATATAATTCTGTTATGTTTGGTAAAAGCAACAAAGTGAAAGTTTCAATATTATTTTATTAAATGTTAAGTCCTCATCATCTCATCAAAAAACAAATAAATTTAAAATCCGGGTGTGTGACTAAGCGTTGAGAGATAAAGAGAGAGATAGTGGACAGTCAACCAAAGTGTAGATTCTGTAAAAAACCTAATTTCTTCTGTTTTTGTGTAAAAAATGGAATTAAGTATTACACAATTTTTAGTAGTAATTATATATAGTTGAGTACTGAAATAATAAACATCAATTTAATTCAAAAATGTGTAAAGAATCCTGACAAATGCCATATAGGCAATTGCAATATATGGTCATGAAATTCCTAAGCCGACCCTGTCTAAAGCATCAACCTCCACATCTGTGGAATTTTCGAAAGCGTCTCGTATCAGAGTTGGACTTCGTATAAATAGCTCGACTCATCGTCGGGCAGTTTAGTTTAGTATAAAGTATTGGAATGAAAAGTTAAAGTGTAATAAATAAATTGGAATTGTTAGTTAGTGTCTAAGTATTATATAAAGTAAATAGTACGTCATAAATAAATTGTAAATAGTGTGTTTTAAATAAATAAATTAGACTTCTTCTCTAAAAAATGAAATCTCTGCTGATGTGGAAAACAAGATGTCTTCTGTAGAGAAGAAAATAAAACAGATGGAAAAGAAGATAGGAGAACTGGAACATTCAAACCCGACCAAGGACGGTGAAATAAAGTATCATGAGGTGGAGTCGAAGTTAAAATTGGAAAGAGCTGTAAACTCTGCTCGTGTTAAAGCTCCAATCTTCGACGGAAAGATGTCATGGACCAACTACCTTAAACAGTTCGAGACAGCTGCGAGAGCAAACGAATGGTCTGAGAGAGAAAAGGCAGTGAATCTGACAATCGCCCTTAGAGGAGACGCTTTAAATGTCCTTCAGACTATACTAGTGGAAGAGACAGATGATTTTGAGCAACTCAAAAAGAGACTAAATATGCGATATGGTCACGAACATTTGGAGCATCTATACCAATCACAGTTAAAGAGTCGTAAACAGAAACGAGACGAGACTCTTCAAGAATATGAAGTAGATATTGCCAGGTTGGTGCGATTTGCCTACCCATCAGCTCCGGAAAACATGATGGAATGTTTAGTAGTCCAAACATTTGTTGATGGACTCCGTGACCACGAGATGCAGAAAACACTTCGCTTGGCCCGCCACAAAACATTGGTCGATGTCTTGTTCGCTGCTTTAGAGTATGAGGCAGCTACACAGGCTTGTGGAGAATACAGTAAAGTGAGAACTATAAAAGAAAAAAACGTAGAAGATAAACTCGACCAACTGGTAAAAATGATGAAGAGCCTTACTGACAGAAAAATGAAGACAAAGACCATCAGGTGCTGGAATTGTGGTGAACTAGGACAAGTACTTAGTTCATGCAAACGTCCAAGGTTCACAACGAATCAAGACAACACGCCGCAGGAAAACTAGAGCGGGTCGGCCTAGAGGAGACAGCTTCGACCCGAAACCGATCCAAAGACCCTCTCATACTGATAGCCTCTTTGAAATGTCGCGATGATATTGTATACGTAGACGGTGAAATAAATGGTAAAAAGTATACACTGTTGGTGGATAGTGGAGCAACTAGGACCATTATACGACCAACAACCATAAAGAACTGTAAACTTCTACCAACAAGATTGCGACTGCGGACTGTCACAGGTGAAAGTGCCATCATCCATGGGGAAATCCAGGTTCAATTGGTAATTGGTACAGAAAAGTTCACTCATACTGTTATTGTAGCTAATATCGAAGAAGATGTAATTCTTGGAATGGATGTAATGAACTTACATGGGTTCCAGTTGGACTTTAAGAACAGAGTGATCAAAGTTGGTACCGAAGAGGTATTCCTACATCCATATGGGGACAGTACCGTGCCAGTTGCTGTACAGGAGGATACGGTGGTACCTGGCAGAAGTAAAATTGTTATAGTAGCACGGCTTCAAGAAACTATGGAAAAAAGAACCCTGTCATGATGGAACCTTGGAACCACGACGAAGAGGTTGGACGAGGAATTCTGATCGGAAAGGGGTTGGTCACGACTGCTAAAGAGATTCCAGTTCGTCTTAGAACGCTAATGATCATCCAATTACCATCAAGAAAGAGACCAGAAACGGAACTTGTGTACCAGTAACTTCCATAATTCGTCAGACAACAACTTCTGATAATTGAAACGACAAATTTGAGTAAATTATTTCTGTTGCTGGTCAATCTCTGAATCAGTTAGAGAAAAAGAAAATAAAGGAATTTCTTCGACGATACCGTGACATTTTTGTACCAAAAGGAGGAAAAACAGGAAGAACTTCTGTTGTAAAACACAAAATTGACACTGGTGACGCCAGGCCGATTCGTCAATCAGCTCGAAGATTACCAAAGGCCAAAAGAGAGGAAGCTGAAAGGATTGTTCAGGAAATGACGGAATACAGGGTGATAGAACCTTCTAGCAGCCCATGGGTCTCTCCGGTAGTCCTGGTTCAGAAAAAGGATGGAACTACGAGGTTCTGTTTGGATTACCGTCAGTTGAACAATGTTACCAAGAAAGACAGTTACCCTCTGCCTCGTATCGACGATACCTTGGACACATTGGCCGGAAGTAAACTATTCTATACCTTAGACTAGAAAAAATTTTTAGAAGATTCAAAGTTTTGCCACGGTTTGTAATATAGAACAAATTTTTTAACATATTTATATGTTTTGAATTTGGATTACGTTGAATAATTTAATTTATTAATCTTTATAAGCTTTTCACTTTTATTAGTATTTATTTTTTTGATTAAAATATATTGGAACATATACTGTTGAGTTGAGCAATGTGCCATAGAAGTATTAATAAATATTTTATAAAAGTCCTTTTCTATTTGTAATTAAAAAGTATTAGACAACGCTTTTATTTATCAAATCAGCATTGAGATTCTCATCTTTCAAATACGGCACGTGTTGAGACGACTATCTTCGTTCTACAGAATGCGATTTGTATGTAATATCTCTCTGTATTTGATTTGTTACGTGTTGAGTACGAACATAAGAATCCCTGTCCTGTACAAGTTAGAAATATGATTAAAAATTTTTTTAACATTTATTCAACGGTCAATTGTTATTGAACATAGACCATAACTAACTAGAGATAAACACACTAGAAGTTAACAAAATAATTTGATTTTCTCATCATAGACCTACCGCAAAATAATACAAAGAAAAATCAAAAAGATACAAACCTTCCATATCTCCAAATGATCATTAGTTTCTACTTGAATCTGATCAGGAGGCGTAACAACAGATCCGACGTAGTTAGTTCCAACAGGAAAATGTATCAAATACAAATCCAAATAATCCAGTTGCAGGTCTTCCAAAGATTGTTTGATGAATAACTCGACTCTATCTGGGTGCATACCAGCGATGGGTAGTTTAGTAGTCACGAACAGTTCTTCTCTTTTTATTTTTCCCGATGACAGCCATTTGTTCAAGACTTTACCTATTAAGGCTTCGTTGAAGTAGACTGCAGCGGTGTCGATGTGACGGTAGCCTGCTTCTAAGGCTGCATCTAAGGCTGATACGAGTTCTTCTTCGTTTGTAGACTGGAAAAAAAGAAGATAAGGTTATAAATAGAAGTTTTAAGGTTAAGGGACGATCTTCATAACCTCTGAGTTATGGAGGGTAGAGGAAAGGAGAACAATCTCTGTATACAAAAAGTGTCCCTCAAAATGTATACAATTAAGATGGCGCTTCTGTGCCCAGGGGACGTCGACAGTCGATAATTCAGATCACACAATGACACCAATGATGTATATAGTAATAAATATTGCTCAACCATAAAAAACTAAAAACTAAACCGTGAAAAGTGACTGATCGTAGAAGAGTAAATGTTCTGTGATCGTAGATAAATTTTGACAATACACGACAATAGTCAAATTTTATTGAAAAATAATAATATAAACAATAAATAATTCTTATGAATGAGCAATCTATATGACTATATAGCATTGGATTTTGTCCCCTGGCTACACGAGCGCCATCTTAATTGCATACATTTTGGTGGCCACTTTTTAATATAAAGATCCATATAAGATTGTCCTCCTTTTTTCTACCCTCCATACTCTGAGTAAAGTTACACGTAGGTTTATTTAACAGAACAGTGAACAATAGTCTATATATAGTTTAGGGCCGATGAGTAAATTTACATGTAGGTTTACTTGACAGATTAACGAACAATAGCCCTATAGTTTAATCAGCAAGTAGTTACTTTCAACTTAATCAAAAAGTAATTACTTTCGACTTTACTCAAAGGAGAAAAGACTGGGCCCTCGACTGGGCCTAAGTAAAATAAATACTGGTAGCAGTTAAAATATTTAATTTATTATATTATATAAAAAAAAAAATTCAATCAAAGTAGTTTGTATATACAAAAGGTAAGATTGTATAACACAGCTTTATAAAGTGTAAACCGCAAAGAATTGCTATTTTTCGCAGCAGATGTGGAAACCAAAATTGAAATGAACAAACTAAGTCATTTTTCATTACTTTACATTTCAGAATGTCACTTTTTTGGACAACTCGATAATAACAGTAGATGCTATAGATCAGCGTTACTCAAGGTGTGGTCCGCGGAGCTCTGGGGCTCCGCAAAGCCTTTGTGGGGGCTCCGTGAAGAAAATGATAATCTTAGTCAAAAAAAGAAGCAGTATCGCTACAAGAGGGAAGGACTTGGCTTGAGGACCTTTTTTTTAGAAATGTTTGTTTAGAAATGTTTAGAAATGTTTAGAAATATTTAGAAATTTTTAGAAATTTTTAGAAATGTTTAGAAATGTTTAGAAATGTTTAGAAATGTTTAGAAATGTTTAGAAATGTTTAGAAATGTTTAGAAATGTTTAGAAATGTTTAGAAATGTTTAGAAATGTTTAGAAATGTTTAGAAATGTTTAGAAATGTTTAGAAATGTTTAGAAATGTTTAGAAATGTTTAGAAATGTTTAGAAATGTTTAGAAATGTTTAGAAATGTGTTTAGGGCCCCGTCAAATATTTCGCTTTTCAAAAAGGTTCCGTCGCCAAAAAAGTTGAGTACCACTGTTATCGATTATTTTCGACCACTATAAAATTCCCTAAAATAGTTATATTTTTCTTATTTTAATATCTAAATAAGATACCAATGGTTCATTCCTAATGATTTTTGTAGTAAGAATATTTCTTCGTTCAAGGATATACATTTTTGTCTCAAGACAGTCTATTTTAAATAAAAAAACATTGCTATCTAATTACCTACCTGATACCAAGGTTACTTTGTAGTTTATTGCGCATTATTTGTAGTTATTATTATAATTAAAAAAAAAAATGTTGCTGTTTTTATTATTTTATTTACTCACAAAGTTAATATAAAAATATGGATATTCAGAAAAAATATTTAAATTAGCAAATGAAAGTTTATACAATATAGAGTATTCTAAACACCAATTTAGTATAAAATATAATTTTCATTTAAGAGAGAGTCATAAAAAACAAGTGAAAATTTGGAAAAATACTCATTATATAAAAACGAATAGAGATAAAATATTGAAGCTAGATCTACCGAAAAGAGAATAGATTTTTATACATTATAGAGTATTTTAAACACCAATTTAGAATAAAATGTAATGTTAATTTAAGGGAAAAACATAAAAAAACAAGTGAAAAATTGGAAAATGCTCATTATGTAAAAACAAATAGAGATAAAATATTGAAACTAGAACTATCAAAAAGAGAATACATTTTTATACATTATAGAGTATTTGAAACACCAATTTATAATAAAATGTAATGTTAATTTAAGGGAGATAATGCTTTATTTAAAAGACTGAATGATAAGATGATTATCACACTGTAGTTGTTAAATTATCATCAGGCTATTTATAGCAAATAATATAATTGTTATTCTCTTGTTATGTTTTATTACAATAATTATTTAAAATTGCATACCTAATTAAAAACCATATAATAAAATCAATCGTATTAAGAGAAAAATTTACATTACAAACTAACAAACCTGCGGGGGGTCGGTGGTTTAGGAGATATCAAAATTAAAACTGAAGGATTGTGTCTAATTACAACAAAAATATGAGATTAAACTAATTTGTCTTCATTTATATTTTTAAAGATATATAAAGAAATTAAAAATATTCAATAATTGCTTAAAATATTACATTTTTATTGTATTGTGTTAAAAAATGTCCCAATGGATTTACAAAATGTTCGCTGAAATACTGAATACAACAGGCCAACGTAAACGGACTATATACATTCATGTCATTTTTAAATTAACCCTTTATAGGATACTGGGAGCTATACTCCCCACAAGGGTTTTAGCTTAAAGCTCTTTGGTTATCATCATTCCCAACTTGGTGTACGCCTGATATGTTTCGCGGTGATCAGTTCAACCTATCGATTAGCTCTCAAATTGGGAGATATATATATCCCAGTAAGTATTCTCGTTTTGTTTTTTTTTATAATATTTATTTTGAAATTTTAAAATTATTTTATTGTATGACTTAGGTAAATAATATAATATAAAAAAAATATAAATATTTATGCAATCCTGGATCAATTATATGATATTCTAGTTGTAAACACGATTTTACTGTTTTTTAATTTAACTAAAAATAATTTTTAAAAATAAAAATGGTAAATTATTTGTCGAGACAAATATATACCAAATTTACCCGACTTTTCTTATTATATTCATTCAGTACAAATTATTTTTCGACTAATTATTATATTTCAAAAACTTATTTTTGAATAAATCGTTCTTGGACAAATTATTTTTGAACAAATAATTTTTGGATCATTTACTTAAAAATCTTAATTACGATTTTTACTATTTATAAACCAAATGTTTATCTAAAAAATCCATAATCACCCTCCCCCCTTAATCAGCCATTAATTTTATTGTTTAAAACATTCAATTAATTTACATATTTGACTTACCATCCAAGTGCCCAAACCAATAGCAGGCATTTTTTGCCCTTCGGGCATTTTTTTAAATGTAACATTCACCATATCTAAGTCTGAACCGGTCACTGTCAATGTGTTAACCTTACTGTTACCACAAACAACTGGTACATTGCAAACAGTGAAAGTCGAGAGTTACAGAGTTACCTACTCATGTATGAATTCAAATTACATCCGTTTTAGAACGGTGAGCAAAGGAACTTTTTCAGTATACTTAATAAAATCTCGCTGATTTAAAATAATCAATCTTGAATCTGTCGATCAATTAGAATAGGTTATGTTATTTTTTCCATATCAGGCTTGATTTGCTAATATTAATATTTTAAATGATAATGAGTAAATTGACAACTTGTAGAAAAAAAAAAATAATAATATTCTAACTCTTTATATAACCGTTAAATAGCCACTTTATTTAAATTATTTTTCTTCCATTTCCTATATTTCAGGAAGCTTAAGTAATAAGGTATTACCTATTTTTTTTTTATTTGTGCCTACTATGCTAGATTTGCTCAATAATATAGACGGTGATGAGCCAATCGTTACCAGAGTTGTTGAAAATTTTCAACAATATTTTCAGCAGAAGAAGAATGTTAACAAGAACGGTTTATGTATTGTTCATTTTAATATTAGAGGCTTAAAAAAACATATGGATGAACTATTAGTATATTTACAGATGGCGGAAGAACTTATAGATATTATCATACTATCTGAAACAAGAAATATTGATGCGGTAAGTAATTTCATAATTCCCAATTATAAAGCATATTACAATGAATCACTTATCAATAAATGTGATGGGGTCATAATTTATATAAGAGATAAAATATCAGCTGAGGTAAAAATAACACCAGTGAATAAAACTCACTTCTTACGTGTAACTTTTTTAACAAACTATATAAGGCGTTATAATAAAATTGGCATAACTGCCTATTATAGGTCTCCAGCTACTTCTCCACAAGATTATCTGGACGACCTGGAAACGTATTTAGAAAACCTTCAGAAACAGAATTTAGAAATTTATCTCGGTAACATCAATATTGACTTACTTAAAAAAGAATCAAATGAAACTAACAATTATTTAAATATTCTAAGCTCTAAAGGCTTTGTGTCCTATATAAATAAACCTACAAGGGTAACAAGAGAATCAAAATCGGCAATAGACCATATTTTTATAATGCAAGAGAATTGTATAAAAAACAAAATAACTTTAGATCCTTTAATATTCAAAACAGATATAACCGACCACTTTACCCCATGTATATTCATCAATTATGAGAATCCTTTTAAAAATAAACCCCAAACTTCAGAAAAAAAAAGAAAAAATTAATTTTCAAAATTTAAATAATTTGATTAGTAATGAAAAGTGGGAGGAAGTAATCGCAGAAAGGGACCCTCAAATATCGTACGATATTTTTATTAATAAACTGAAACTCTATGTATCAAATTGCACATCTATTTTAATATCTAAAGATAAAACTTCACTAAAACTAAAACCATGGATAACTCATGATATTATTAACTATATCTGCAAAAGGGATAAAATGAAAAAAAATCTATTAAAACATTATACTGAAGAAATGAACAGACAATATAAGACTTTCAGAAATAAAACAAATAATCTAATCAAAAAAACAAAAAATGATTATTACAGAAATAAAATAAATGAAGCTGGAAAAAACAGCAAGAAAGTGTGGGAGATTATAAATAATATAACAGGTAAGGAATACAGCAAAACCATTGAATACTGTAATATAACTAATGATGAAGGAAAAATAATTACAAACAATAAAGAAAAAGCAGATGAATTCAATAATTTCTTTGCAACCTTGGGTAGAAAAATGGCAAATAAAATACAAAAAAAAAATCTACCACAGAATTTTTTAAATAATACTCACCTAATCCATTCGATATATCTTAAACCCGTAACTAATAACGAATTAATTACATACATTTCAAATCTAAAGAACAATTGTTCACCAGGTCCAGATAATCTATCTACAAAAATAATAAAAACTATTCATGTATATATTTGTCAGCCTCTATCTCACATAATAAATCAATGTTTGGCTATTGGAAAAATACCAAAACAATGGAAAGAATCAAATATAACTCCAATCTTTAAAGCGGGGAACCCTACGAATTTAAATAACTATAGACCAATATCTATTATTAATAATTTTGCGAAGATTTTTGAGCAATCGCTAAAAACTAGACTTCTTTCATTTTTTAATAAACACAATATTATAACAAATAATTTATTGTTTCGGCCTTTACTTGATGAAAATCCATTTAATTTTGAAAGAGTAAAACCAAATTTGGTAGATTTTCACACTTTTATTTTAAAAATAATTTTTTTTTTAAAAAACACTAACATGACATATGTTTCGAAGTACAACTTCTTTTTCAAATGTGACTATTTACAATTCGGTATCCAATATATATACGAAATAATTTAACAAAACAAAGTACTTAAGAAAACATCAATAACATTACAAAATAAACTAACTATTTAAAGTAAATAAGGGTACTTAGGTAATACAAATGAACCCTCAACCACCACAACTTTATTCTTTAATAAAATTACACAAAGAGAACTATCCTATTAGACCAGTTGTGTCATTTGTCACGGCTCCATCAGTTAAACTTTCACACACATTAATTAAACTTATACAAGAAAACTGCAAATTCAATTCAAAGTATAGTATAAAAAATTCTTATGAATTAACAGAAAAATTAAAAAACATTAAATTACCTAGTAACACAAAATTAGTATCGTTCGATGTAACAAACTTATTTCCTAGTATACCTCCTAAAGAAACAGTTAAGCTAGTAGAAAACTTATTAGATCGTAATCAAGTCAATATTATAATCAAAGAAGAAATCCTAAATTTGTTAAACATTTGCCTAAAACAAAATTATTTTCAATTTCAAAATAACATCTACTCAGCAAATGAAGGTCTTATTATGGGGAACCCATTAAGCCCGTTGCTTGCAGAAATATTTATGGATAATATAGAAAATAAAATTCATAGCAATAATTTAAGTAAACATTGTCTGTATTGGCATAGATATGTTGATGATATATTGACTGCTTTTACTGGTACTAGTAGACAGTTAAATTCTTTATTAGTTTTTATCAATACTATACACCCTAATATTAAATTTACTATGGAAACAGAGAAGGATAATTCAATTAATTTTTTAGACTTAAATATTATTAAAAATAATAAAGGCCATAGTTTTGGGATATTTCATAAGCCATCACATACGGATATTACAATAAATAATAGTTCATCTCATCCATACAAACAAAAGCTGGCAGCATACAACAGTATGATCCATAGATTAGTTAATATTCCCCTTACCAAAGAGAACTTCACAAAAGAATTAAATATCATTAAACAAATCGCAGTAAATAATAATTTTAATTCAAAGTTAGTAGACAACATTTTAGAGAAAAAACTTTTTAAACAGGCTATTCAACAAGTTTATCCCATAATTAAAGATCCAAATTGCAGATATAAGAGTCTTACATATATAGGAGCTCCTAGTGAAAAGGTATCATCATATTTAAAAAACCAAAATATTAACGTAGCTTTTAAAACCAATAATACGCTTGGGAAGTATATTAAAAACAATAAGGGTAAAATTAATCCTAAAAATAAATCGGGGGTATATAAATTAAATTGTGGTAGTTGTCCAAAATTGTATATTGGTCAAACAGGCCGTACTTTCAAAAAACGCTATTCCGAACATTATAATAGCTATACAAAACACAAAAATAATTCTACTTACTCAAATCATATTTTAGCTGAAAATCATTCTTTTACAGACAACTTTGAAATTTTACATGTAGAAAATAAGAGCCTTAAATTAAACCATTTAGAAACACTTGAATTAAATAGATTTAAAAATTCAGATAACTTACTAAATGATCAATTAGATATTAATAATTCACCCTTATTAAATCTCTTTCCCAGTTTTCTGTGAGATAATCCCGGTAATGGGATATCTTATTGTTATTTGATGGATATTATAATTACCTAAGTACCCTTATTTACTTTAAATAGTTAGTTTATTTTGTAATGTTATTGATGTTTTCTTAAGTACTTTGTTTTGTTAAATTATTTCGTATATATATTGGATACCGAATTGTAAATAGTCACATTTGAAAAAGAAGTTGTACTTCGAAACATATGTCATGTTAGTGTTCTTTAAAAAAAAAAATTATTTTTAAAATAAAAGTTTGAAAATCTACCAAATTTGGTTTTACTCTTTCAAAATTATAACAAATAGGCAATTTGGCTTTATCAAAAATTCAAATACGGAAAATGCTATAATTGACCTCCTAAAAACAACAATGAAGAACTTGGATGATTCATCAAAATGCTTAGCAGTTTTTTTGGATCTTGCCAAGGCTTTTGATACCGTGGAACACTCAATATTAATTAATAAATTAAGGGAATATGGCATTAGAGGAATAGCCCTTCAATTATTAGAAAACTACTTGTCGGACAGAACCCAAAGAGTAAAAATTGGAAACTCATTTAGTACTGACAAGAAAGTAGAAACAGGTGTTCCTCAAGGAACAGTGTTAGGGCCGATTTTATTCGTAATATATATGAATAGTATCACGCAAATCTCAAACTTCAAAGGACAACTAGTGTGCTATGCCGATGATACAGCTATAATATTTTCTGGGGAAAATTGGGAAAATGTAACACAAACTGCAGAAAGAGAACTAAATAGGTTACATATATGGCTCAACCATAATTTATTAACTCTAAATATTAAAAAAACTAAATATATTACTTTTTCACCAACAATAGTAGATCAGCCAAATAATATAAATATAAAATTACACTGCCCAACATGTCCTCAACATAATAACACATGCGATTGTGAAACTTTGGAGAAAACTACATCAATTAAATATCTCGGAGTGATCGTAGATCAGCACCTAAAATGGACGGAACATATTACATATGTAGCAAAAAGAATAAGAGTATTAATGCATAAATTTTATCAACTTAGAGAAATTCTTTCAAAAAAAAATCTAGTTATATTATATACATCATTAGCAGAGTCTATAATAAAATACTGCATAACTATTTGGGGTGGAGCATATAAAACAACACTAAACACAT